GTCCCATTTAAGAGATTATTTGTGACCACACCCTATAAAGCCAAGCAGCCATCAACTACTTATCATCATCTCTATTGAAATCCCCTAATTTAAGCTAACATAAAATTGTTACGCATTACAAACATAGCCACCTAAGCCAGAGATGGGGGCAACAGCAGGGAACAAAAGGAAAGAGATGGCCTCCAAACTGGTCTAATTCCACCCTCCCACTCCTACACTTAGTTCTTAGCATCCAATGAGCCTGTATGCAAAAAACGTAAGTCAAATCATGCTATCCCTCTGCTCAAAATTCTCCAGTGGCTCTCCGTTTTAGAGAGGAAAAGCCAAAAACCCTATAAAACCCATTGCCATGACATCAGTCCTAACTCATAGCAACTAGAGAACTGAGTAAAGCTGCCTCTGTAAGGTTTTCAAAACTGTCCTGTTTACAGCAGCAAACTGCCACATCTTTGTCCCACAGAATGACTGGAGGGTTGAAGCCAGACACTCTTAGCTCCCGAGAACTAACTACTGCACCACCCCGGTCTTTCAATGACCTACAATAGCTAGACACCTCTTACTTCTCTAGCACTTGCTTCTTACTTCCTCTCTCCATCCTAGTCCCACCGGCCTCCTTATTACTCCTCTAACACAAGAGTCCTTCCAGGGATCCTACCAAATGTACATAAGAAGTACTGTGAAAGGAGAATAATGGGGAGCAATCAATTAATGTGGGAGTGATGAAGGAGCACTAGAACTGATTGTGATGATGGATATACTCTTTTAAAAGTGAGTTACCATACATACTCGAGTGTAAGCTGACCCGAATATCAGCCAAGGCACCCAATTTTACCACAAAAACGGCATCAAATAACTCAGCTTATAAACGAGTATATACGGTAACTATAGAAGTGTGACTATTATATCAAGAAAACTTTTTTTTTAAAGAATGAAAGAAACCAAACTTGACCTATGGTTACCATGAGTGAAAGGGGAAGAGTTTTGGCTTAGGGGATATTGAGTTTATTTTAATGGTGCTAGAACAATTTGGAAAAGGATATCAATAATGATTATGTAACATGAAGAGTATAATCAGTGGCACTGCATTATGCATGTTCAAGTTGTTGAATTGAAGAATGTTTTATTGGGTAGATTTTTGCCAAAATTGAAAACAAATTTACAGAAATAACAATGAGTACAAAAAAGAAGAAAACGTTCTAAAATTGATTGTGGTAAAGATTATACAGCTCTTAATATGATTGAGCTACTGAATGTATGATATGTGGATAAAGTGCCAATAAAACTTCAAAAAAAATTTTTTAAGTATTAGGAGAGAATGATAGACTAAATGTTTTTCCTTTTTAATCACCAGCGTAACAGCATGTTAAAATACCCCAAGTATAGCTCTCTAACAATCAACAAGTACGAAACTAGGCATTTAATCTCTCAGTTATAATGAAAGACAAACATATAAAAACTTATCCAATGCTAACGGTTCACTGGGTATTTTGAATAACTTGAAAAAGTATTTGTATTGAGTGGCAAGCCCAACTTTATGAAGAAACATGCATCTCAAACACTTGCCGTTAAAAGCCAGGATAAACCCAGACAACAAGGCTACTGCCATCAAGTCAACTGCATCTCATAGTGACCCTATAGGACGTTTCTGAGACTACAAATCTTTGAGAGGGCAGACCTCAACCTTGAGTAGCTGGTGTGTTTGAACCACTCTGCCTTTGTGGTCAGCAAACCAATACCTAGCACATTGACACTGGGCAACCTGAAGTAGAAACCGTTAGGATTATCTTTAGGAAAGCCCATGTGGTAGTTATACAATTTCATGTCAACTTGATAAAAAATTAAGGGGTAGAGTCTAGTCTGTCAATCAAGTTACAGCCTCTCTTCATCCCCTGGAGGCAGGACACACATTCTCTCCACTATGCTACATGACAAGCTACATGGGAGCCACGCTGATGGCAGCTAGAGCCCTGGAGATGCTTCTACCACCACTGGATCCACAAGACTTTCTACCCACAGGCCTGTAGATCTTCCTGCATTTGGCATCGTTGCATGTGTTGCGTGAGTGTGAAGAGGAATTTATAGACTAGTATCGGACATATGGGCTAATATCGGACTTAGCAACTTGATCTGGACTGGACTGGGCTGTTTTCTTAATATATAATTACTCTTTGATATAAAGTTCTTTCTTATACATACAAGACTGCCTCTGGATTTGTTTCTCTAGTCAATCCAGCCTAACACAGCCCATGTCTTTGATCTGTTGGGAAAGATGTTTACTTAACCATGAATCTAAGCTTACCTCTAGATATGAAAATCAAAGTTTTATTTAAGGAAAAGTATCACAAAGTTTTAAATGGAAATAAAGCTAATCATGGTCAAGGATATCACTCTGAGGGTTAAGGGGAGGCTGACCCAAGTCATGGCAATTTATTTTTTTTTTTCAAATGTACAGTTTGCAATGGAAGTGTGTACAAAACATTTTACTTTTGCATCGTCTCAAGCCATTCTTCCTTGCATTTACCCTTTTCCTTTCCTACTTGGCGAGATGTGGCTTTCCGTTTCAGGATCTTCTTGTCTTTGTCCAGTTTTAGCCTTGTGACAACCACCTGGCTGGAATGAATGCCCACAAGGACAGTGGTACCGTTAGCTTGATCTCGCTGCACCCGCTCAATGTAGATAATGTGTTTCTTCCTGTAAACTTGGACCATTTTGCCAATCTGCTGACCTTTGTAGTGTCCTCACACAGCCTGAACTTCATCATCCTTGTGGGTGGGCAGAGACCAAACATTGTATTTGTCCCAGTTCCTTGGAACGAGGTGAAGATTGCACAATCTTCCTGCAAACGTGGGAAGGTGCACTGAAATGCCTTTTCTGGTTTTTGCTCTGGTCCTAAGTCACAAAAGGACTGGACTCCATTTTGGCTGCTGCTCCTTCAGCGATGGCCCCCAAAGGGAAAAGAGCTACAAGCTGCTTCAGGTCTCACCACTGTATTTTCAATAGCCTCCTGTGTATGTGAAAGTTGACACTGAATCAGGAAGACCGCAGAACTGATGCACCTGGATTATGGTGCTGGCAGAGAATACTGAAAGAACCGTGGACTGCCAGAAGAATAAACATCTGTTTGGGGAGGAAACAGCCAGAATGCTCCTTAAAAGCAAGGGTAGCCAGACTTCATTTCACATCCTTTGGACACGTTATCAGGAGACACCATCCCAGGAAAAGGACATCATGTAGCAAAAAGAGGAAGACCCTCCACCAGATGGACTGACACGATGGCTGTGGCAACGTGCCCAAACAGCAGAGCCATTGTGAGGATGGGGCAGGACCGGGCGGCGTTTCATTCTGCTGTCCAGAGGGTCGCTCTGAGTTGGAAACAACTTGATGGCACCTCACAACAGCATTCTCTACAGTTGAGTGTTTTATATACATATATGTGGACCTGGGGAAACCACCACCAGAAGAGTCAAATTTATTTTCTCCCACTTTTTCTTGAACTTCTATGACCTCTTCCTCCCTGCCTGATCTGCTCGAATTAAGTTTCTTATGCTTCAGATATTTTAAAAATTGTCCTCCTGTTTCCTCTTCAGATTCTCAGAGCACAATTTCTAGCTCTGCCCCACCCCCCCTCTATGAAAATCAGACTCACTGAAATGTGTGTATATGTGCTTAAAGGAAATGAGATGCCACCTAATGCAAACTCAAGATCAGGTAGCAGCCATTAAGGGGTTAACCCATTACACTGGAGTCCATCACAATGTTCTGACACCCCAGAACAGAACTACCTTATTGGGTTGCCAAGCAGTAATGTTTATGGAAGCAGATTGGAAGGTTGTTCTCCCATTGAGTGGCTGGTGGATTCTAACTGCCAACCTCTTCCTTAGCAGGCAGGCACTTTACCGTGGCTCCACTAAGGCCTCCGTGCCTCCTAACCAAGGAACAGCATCTCCACTTATTTATTCAATGATTCAACAAATATTTGAGGACTTCTACATGCTAACAGGTGGGATCGGTCCCTAGAAGACATATGCTTAATAAATGAGGGCAGAGAAAACGAGGAAGACCCACACTGTTAAGACGTGGCACCGTGGCTACAACAGGGGTTCAAACATGGACATGATTGTGACGATGGCACAGGACCAGTGTTCCGTTCTGCTTGACATACCATGGCTAAGATGGGAACCGTTTAGTTGGCACCTTAACATTAGATCAGCGGGTAAAAAGAAATGCCCCTGCCTTCAATAACCGTTGGGTGTTAGATGGGAGGTATTCCAGACGAAAATGCAAGTAAACAAAGCATCTGCTATTAACATCTAGGGCTTCCAACATAGGGACCCTTGGACCACAAAGTCCAGAAGGCAGCTACAAGCAAGTTCAAAGGGGTGAACCAAATGAAGACCCACCCTTCATTTCAAATAAAATATGCCCTACAAGGTTACAAAGTTATGGCGTAGTGTTGCCTGATTGCTTCCTTCAATCTCTTCACTTCCACACTGCAGAGATCCTGCTCAAAACAAATAAAACACAGACACTGCCATCGAATCCATCCTGACTCAGCGAACCTACTACAGGGCAGACGGTATGCCTTCTGGATTTCTGAAGCTGTGGTTACACGTTGGGCTGAGATTCTAAAGGTCAGCAGTTCGAATATCAGCCGCACCGAGAGAGAAACAAGGGGCTTTCTACTCCCGTAAGGAGTTGCAGTCTCGGAAACGTGCGGTAGATGTGTCCTATGGATGCCAGTGAGTTTGGGACAGAACTCTCACGTGATCAGAGCGGCTGGTGGCTGAGAATGCAGACCTTTCGGGAGAAGCCCAAAGCGTAACCCACTATGCCTGCAGGGCTCCTACAGGAACTGCGAAAAACCGACCACCTTTGGCGAGAAACCACTCAAATGCGCTGAGAAGACGTCAGGAAGGAGTTAAAGGTGAGCCCTCAAGATCTATAAAACCTCAACCCAATTCAAAGACATTAAGAGAGCCAAACATAACGGCACCAGTTACCTCTGATGTCCACGGCCGCCATAATTCCTAAAGCGCTCACAGCTGCTCCTTCCGGTGCCGAGTACGCGTAAACGCCGTGACGACAAAAGAAGTCGACTGCAGATGCTACGGATGCGAGGGAGAAAAAGAGCCGGCGAAGGAGAGGCGGGGCAAGGCCGGAAAGGGGCGGGGCGGGAGGCTGCTGCTCTGCGCCGTGGTTAGTTCAGAAAGAGCTGACGTGGAAGAGGCGGGGCAAGGCAGGAAAGGGGCGGGGCGGGAGGCTGCTGCTCTGCGCCGTGGTTAGTTCAGAAAGAGCTGACGTGGAAGAGGCGGGGCGAAGAGGGCGGAGCAAGACAGGAAAGGGGCGAGGCGGGGCGGGAGGCTGCTGCTCAGCGCTGTGGTCGGTTCAGAACGAAACCCCGCCCAATTCCGGCAGCTTCACAATTGTTTTTCTAGGTGGCCGGTTGTTGTTGGAGCGGCGGAAGGGCGGAGAGGACTTGGAAAGAGAGGGGTGGAGCTAGAAGGTGCGAGCCCGGCTGGGGGCAAAGGGGCGGAGCCAACATGAGCGGGGCAGGTGGAGAGTAAAACAGAAAAGTGGGCGGGAAAAAGAGGAGCGGGGTTGATTGAGGGCGGGATCGGGATAGGGAGGAGGGATACTGGCTGGGAATCCCTGGGACCAGCGTCCAAAGACCAGCCCTGCGTGCTAACCGGAAGGTTCCCGGTGAGATGGATTGGCACAGTGACTGCAACAATGAGCTCAAATTAAACAAGTGTCAGTGTTTCATTCTGCTGTATGCCTGGGGCGCTAGGAGAACAGACTGTACAGCACCTAACAACAACCTTGCAAAATACAGAGTCCTGCTAGTTGTTGATGTTTGGCGCCGTCGGTCCGTCCTGACTCCTAGAGACCCTACGTACAAAGGAACACAATACCACCCGGTCCGGCGTCGTTCTCACAATTTGTTCTCCTGTTTGAGCCCAATGTTGCAGCCACCGAGTCAGTCCCCTGGCCCAGTGCCTTCCTCTTCCGCTGCCTTAGTAGAGCCGCACTCCTCGGGGTCGGCAGTTCGAAACCCTCAGCGGTCTAGACTGTCTACTCCGGGAAACAGTTCCAGTCTCAGAAACCCACGGGGGGTTGTGTCTATGCGTCAGCTCCGACTCGGTGGCAGTGAGTTTGCGTTTGAGTAGAGTAGTACTTAAGCTTTGGGCTACTAGCTGCAAGGTTAGCTGTTGCAACCAGCCAGCGAGGAAGATGAGGCTGCTTGTTCCAGGAAAGACTTAAATAGCAATTCTACCCTACCCTATGGCAGTTCTAAGCACACGCGCGAGCCCTGATGGCAGAGTGGTTAAGCGCTTGGATGGTTAAGCTCGATGTTTCAAACCCAGCCTCTGCTCTGTGTGAGAAAGATGGGTGTGGAGAGGAGGGGAGGAAGGGGGAACCTATTCCAACGATCTACACATAACCACCCCCCACCCCCCAGGGGGAGGAACAATAGAAACCATGGGGACAGTGGTTGGTGTAAGATATGAACATAATAATTTATAATTTATCAATGGGTCACGGGAGGGGGGGAAGGAGCTAATATCAAGGGCGCAATAGAAAGTAGATGTTTAGAAAATAAAGATGGCGACATATGTACAAATATGCTTGATACAATTGACATATGGATTGTTATAAGACCTGTAAGAGCTCCCAATAACATGATCTCTTAATTAAAAAATAAAATGAAAAGATTGGCAGTCTTGGGAACACCATGAGGGAAGTCCTGTTCGATTCTATAGGGTCACTAGTGTTGTAATAGAGTTGTAATGGATTTCATTTTGGGAAGAAGAAACATAACGAAACATTCTAGTGAGTTCATTCTCACTCAAAGTGAACTGTTCCATGAGATTTTAGATTTCTGGGCCTTTCTTCAGCTTACCACTGAAAGGGTGTCAACTGCCCACCTTGGATGAGTTGTTCGGTGCTGGGGAGTTGGTTCCAGCTCACAGCCAACCTGTGCACACCAGAATGAAGCATTGCAGGGTCTAGCACCATCCTCCCAAACATCGTTATGTTTCAATCCATTGTGGCAGCCACTATGTCTATCTATATTGAGGGTCGTCCTCTTTTTACCGACCCTCTAGTTAGCTGTGATATTTTTCTCAGGAATTGGTTCTTCCCAATAATGTTGCCGGCTGCAACTTTACGTGATAATAATAGAAACGCTGAGTGCATTAAGTGTGGGAACCATTATTGAAGTTAAGAGCTTTGCAAGGGAAGTTCAATGTGGGCTAAAAAGCAAATCACAGTGACTCTCCAGGAGTACGAAAGGACCTTGTGAATCTTTATATGCTTATGGGAGTAATATATATTCATTATTCCGCCACTGGTCTGTCAGTGTACTGTGGTGGCTTGTGTGTTGCTCTGATGCTGGAAGCTTTGTCACCGGCATTTCAAATGCCACAGGGTCACCCAAAGTGAACAGGTTTCAGCTGAGCTTCCAGACTAAGCACTGCCCACTTCAAAGGAAAGAGCCACTGAAAACCTGATGCATAACTTCAAAGTATTGACAGCTACTGAAGGCCCAAAGAACGTAAGCAGAACATTGCCAGAGGATGGGTCCCTCAGGTCCAAGGGCACACAAATTGTGTCTAAGGGGGAGCTGATTTCTCGGAATGAAGTCGACCAGGGTTACATTGGTCAGGTAAAGCCTATGGGACTGGACCTTCTCGAGCTTCATTTGCTGATGGAGCACAACTCAAGCCAAGGAGAAACAGCTGCAAAAATCTGCTAATGCTCGAAACTTGGAATGTTGGAAGTAAGAATCTAGGAAAATTGGAAGTGGTCAAAAATGAATAAAGATGAACGCATAAAGATCGATATCCTAGGCATTCGTGAGCTGAAATGGACTGGTATTGGTCATTTTGAATCAGAAAATCACACGAATGACTATATTCGGAATAACACACTCAGAAGGAATGATGTGGCATTGTCAAAAAGCATATTAGAAAATCCATCATGAAGCACAATGTTGTCTGCGATAGGATTATAACTATCTGACTTCGAGGAAATCCAATCAATACAACTATTATTCAAATTTATACATCAATCACAAAAGCTAGTGTTGAGGAATTTGAAGAATTCTATCAATGACTTCAGTTAGAAATGGATCAAACATGCAAAAAAGGTGCATTAATATGTATTGATGATTGGAATACAAAAGTTGGAAAAAAGGAAGGAACAGTAGTTGCAAATATGATCTTTGTGATAGAAATGAAGCTGGAGATCGCATTGAAAAACCAATAACTTGTTCACAGCAAATATCTTTTTCAACAACACAAAAGGAAACTATGTACCTGGATTTCCCCAGATGGAATGCACAGAAATAAAATTGACTACATCTGCATGAAGAGACGATGGAGAAGCTCAATATCCACAGGTAAAACCAGACCAGGGGCTGACTGGAGCAGACCAGTAAGTGCTCATATGCAAGTTCAGGTTAAAGCTGAATAAAACTCAAACACGTCCATGAGAACCAAAATACGACCTTGAATTTCAAGAACATCTCAAGATTTGACACAGTAAACACTAACAACAGACGACCGGATGAGTTGTGGGAGGACACTGTCTATCATTCATGAAGAAAGCAAAAGATCATTAAAGACAGGAAGGGAAGAAAGCGGATGTCAGAAGAGACTCTGAAACTTGCTCTTAACCATAGAGTCGCTAAAGAAAATGGAAGAAAAGATGAAGTCAAGGAGCTGGATAGAATATGTCTAAGGGCAGCTCGAGAAGACAAAAGACAAATATTAGAATGAAATGTGTAAAGAACAGAATTAGGAAATCGAAAGAAAAGAACATACTCAGCATATTTTTTTCTTCCCTAAGGGATAAATTATTTTAACTTTATATGGCCCTCTCTGTACACTGGGCCCTCCGAGCTGGGCTATCGTCCTCTGAGCTTGGTGGGCCCAGGTGTGCTCCGCTCCTTTCCTCCTCCTTCCTTTGCTCCAGCTTCCTTCTCAGTGTGGTGCGGTAGGGCCATTCCTTTCTCACACCAGACGGTCTATTTCCATTTTCTGTGGTACTCCGTTCCATGGTGGGGGTTGGGCTAATTCTGGTTAGGACCGGCGTATGGTCCGGTCTCTTTGTATGTATTGTGATGAATTGTATGAGCCCCAATAAAATGATTTTTAAAAATTATTTTAATTTTATACAAAGTGCTTCTAATGGAAAGCTACATCACTTATTTTATGAGAGTGGAGTAACCATAATATCAACATTGGAATTAGTCAACTTATAAAATCACATACAAAAATATCAAATAAAATATGCATATCATACTTTATTTTACTGCTTTAACGTTTATTATTTTAAGCTTAATTTATTCCTGAGCCATGAGTTTTTGCTTCTTCAGTTTCTTCTGGGAAATCTTTTTCTTCTGTGCAACCTCCTCTTCCGGTTTGGGAATGATCTGTTCCTTCTCAGTCAGGATCATTTCAACGTGGCAGGGGGAGCCTCATGGATGGGTTGATCCGACCATGAGCTCTGTAAGTCCGACGGCGCATCTTGGGGGCTTTGTTCACCTGGATGTGCTCAATGACCAGAGAATCCACATCTAAACCCTTCAGTTCAGCATTACTTTCTGCATTTTTAAGCATGTGAAGCAAAAATTCAGCACTCTTTTTGGGCCACCGACCCTGGGTCCAACCCCAGTTTGGCCTGGGCACACCTACCACGCCACCATTGTAGTGTCTGAAGGGTACACCCTGCTTCTGCAGAGTGACGTCTTTCAAGTATTTGGTGGCTTTCCGGATGTGCATGCCTTTGATGGCCTGGGCCGTTTCATGGGTGTTCTTGAAGTGGACCCGGAGGTTCGACCCTCTTGATTTGCAGGATTTTGTAGGGTTTTCTGGGTCAAGTGAGTAGCGAACTATTTTGGCAGGTCACCTCAGACCGCTACAGTTAGAGGAAGAGTGGTGGGTTCTGGGAGAATTCATGGTCACTCAACTTCTCCCATATCATACTTCATGTATAGTATATGCTAAAATTGAAAAGTTATTCTAGAAATATGTCGATATTTCTTTTTCTTAAAATCGTTTGA